CAGAGCGCGTACACACCTCACGCACCGGATGCCGTGCGCGCGCTCAAAGACAGTTGCACATAGTGGTGTATTAGAGGTAAAATATGATATAAATACTGTTCGGTTTCTGGCACAAACTGATCGTTTCGTGTGTTAGGACATCAGTGTGTCGTCACGAGCCGCAGGGTTTAATTTGGATTTGTCTGTGCATGTTTTTACTCTCACAGATTTTGTTACCATTGCCATGCATTATACGACTGATAGACTGCAACAGCTGGAGTTAAAAATCATCAAATGTGTGTTCTGCTGAAGAAACAGTCACCTACATCTGGGATGTCCTGCGGGTAAGCAGATAAACATCACATTTTCATTTTTGGGTGAACTATCCCTTTAAAGTTGGTCTCCTTTTAAAGAAGACACTTGGCAGATTATTGTAGAAGTGAAAAAAGTTATAGAATTTTTATTACAAAAAAGTTATGGAAGTTTATGAAAAATTAAAATATTAATATTTTATATAAAATATATATTTTACAGCATGTTTTACTCCTAAAACTGCTAGAAAATTAAAACCAAATATCTGAACAAGTTGTGTTCCAAATTTGAGGTTGATATCTCAAAAAATTAGCTTTCAGTGAGAGTTTGTTTGGACGCAGTACCAAGCTTTTCCACTAGGTGACCATCAAACCCCATTAGTAACATGTTTTTCCATACTTTTCTCATTAATTATGAAGTAGACATCACATTCAGACATATTAAGGGCAGTATTCACGAAAACGAATTGATGTTTTTACAGATTTTTCACGATTTCATACGTGCATCACTATTTCAAAGTAAAGGTCAGAACTCGATCTCCGACTCCGATGAGTACTCTTCTTGCAACTTAATCAATTACAGTTGCTCTGTAAAATATTTCAAAAATGAGTCGCCAAATATGAAAACTAGAGTCTTTAAGCTTTCAAAGTCATCTGTAGGGACACTCCATGACATGGTGAGGATTAGTGAGATGTTTGGGAGTGATCCTGTTGGACCAATATACACAGATATTGTAATAACTATATAGACAGATAACTTGGTGAAATGCAAGTTAATTGAAATATTCCTCCGTTCCTCTCAGATGAAAACACCAGTTCATCTTCTGATGAAGAAACGGCCTCGACATCAAAAGAGCAGCCGACGACCAAGAGTTTCTCCTGCGTCACCTATGGGAAAACATTCAGCAAACGGGGAAATTTAGCAAGACATGAGAGAAAACACACAGAGCAGAAAGACTTCAGCTGCAAGGTATGCGACGTCAGCTTTCCTACCTTAAAAGAAAGAAGACTTCATTCAAAAGAGCACAGGGTGAAGAAGGAGTTTCGCTGCGAACAGTGCGGGAAGGTTGCCTTCTCTTCTGGTAATTTGAAAATTCACATGAAGACGCACACTGGCGAAAAGCCTTTCCACTGCAGCGAGTGCGACAAGTACTTCAGCGCCAAACAATCCCTTATTGTTCATAAGCGAATCCACACGGGGGAGAAGCCGTACAAGTGCCCTCACTGCGAGAAAAGATTCAGAGATGGGTCCCAATTCAAGACACACATGCGTTCGCACGCCAGCGAGAGGCCGTACCAGTGCAGCGAATGTGGGAAAACCTTTAAGCAGCCCATCTGTCTAATATCACACCAAAAAATCCACTCTGAGAAACTGCACCAGTGCGCACACTGTGACAAACGCTTCCGTCAGATCTCTCATCTGCATTGTCACGAGAGGACTCACACCGGAGAGAGACCCTACCTGTGCTCCCACTGCGGGAAGAGCTTTTCCGATCCGACTCATTTCAAAGTCCATCAGAGAATTCACACGGGAGAAAAACCGTACCAATGTAGCGTTTGCGGGAAGAGTTTCCGTCAACACACTAACCTACTGAAGCACCAGAGGATTCATACCGGAGAAAGACCATTCAAATGCTCACAGTGTGACAAGACGTTTGCTCGATCAGACGTGCTGAAGATCCACGAGCGAGTTCATACAGGAGAGAAACCTTACCGCTGCTCCATCTGCGGCGAGAGATTCGCTTATTTGGGGGGTTTTCAGACCCATCAGAACAAACACGCTAAAGAAGAAACCGCTCCAGAATCATTGTAGTGACTGTCATCAGTCAATCTGGAAGCTTATCCTGAAACAGTATAGGGTTTATAATGGCAGTCACATTGAGCTTTCGTGTGAATTGGGAGTGGAAATTGATTGTTGAATGCTGTGATTGTAGTCGTGTTTAACAGAGTAGGACAATGATGCTGTAACAACACAATTCTACAGGCAAAAAGCACCTATTTAAAAGTTGTTGTGTATATATATTTTTAAACTTTTTTTCCCCCAAGCAGCTTTTAAATCTCAAATAATTGTATGCTATCATATCAGATGTTTGCTGGAGGAACATACGCTAGCCGAGCAACTGCCATTGAGATGAATGGGACTACTAATGCATAACTTTCTGCAAGTGTATTAGACCTCCTTGATATGCACTAAGAAAGAAATTGTGGGGGAAAAAATGGAAATCATTGGTAAATGTAATAAAATGCATGAAATAATGTGGATACTTGGATATTCTGTTTTGTTCAGCACACTCAAGCCCTGGAACCAAGGTACTAATGTTTATTGTTATTATTATTTATAACTATTATTATTTTCATGACCAGAATTAAACACATATAGGTATTTTATTTAGAACCACATAATTGTGTATGTGTGTGTGTATACATATATACATACAGTAGTCAACATTTGAAGTGGATCAAAAAAGTTAATCATAGTTGTCCTAAGACAAGAACACATTTAGTTTTAGGTTTTAAGACACATTTGGTGAAAGGTTTTGATCCACTTCAAATGTTGTCTAGTGTATGTCTACTAAATCCTTTCTTTTCTTCTCAACCACCTCCCCCAGTATGATGAGATTTTGGTAGATTGTTGTCTTAAGGGTCAGCACTTCCATACTGTAGACATCATGTACAATTTCTTGCCATTCACATACAGATGGGG